TTGGGCAGTGTCCGTTCCTGGCGAGTCCTCCTCATGGTGTCCCTAGTCTGATCGAGTCAGCCGACCCCCAAAAAGATGAATGAACTGCATGCCCTCAACACTGACCCGGTAAGGAGCAGAAACCTGATGACAATGCAATTTTTGGTCTGGTTATGCCATTTTAGCTGATGCAACTTGATAAATCATTTTCTATCTTGAAGTGATAATAAATGACTCATCTGATCACATTAAATCAATTCTTTCAATCAAAATCCAAATCAAACTATTTATCAAAATACTGTAGTCAAACTTTGTCTAAATTTGTGCGTGTGTAAAACCCAACATAATTCCGTCTCAAATAGTAAATTTTGCCTTAGATAAAGATAATTAACCCTTGATTGATTAATTGTTGTTTGTTTATTATTATTGTTGATTCTTAGTTTGATTATTTTTGTACTAAAACTTCAAAGACAGCTTTGGTCTCTTCATTTGGATGAATATTAATTTGTTTTGGTATAAGACTCCCTGTAAATGACAGATTCTACTTCACTGACTGAGTTCTGATTATTTAAGGCTGAATATATTAATTAAGTTGTTATTGGTCAGTAAACTGACCAGCTGGTGCCCTACTTTAAAGAGTGCAACATACAGTACACAAACAAATGTAGTGAGCGGAGGAGAAAGAGTCACACTTCTTCCTCCTCCTACGTTTTTAAACACTACACACATCTGTCCTCTATAGCTATAAAGTGAGCTGTGGTGGTGAAAAATAGTCACCTGGAGACAGAATATGGAGATTAAAAACAGAAGACAGACATACCAAAGACTTTCAACACAGACCCCATGTTTTCTTGCTGTGTAGCTTCTTTCCAGTACAGCTGACTTCAAAAGTTATGTTACTGACACAATCTTTGACATTTATCAAAGGCATGTTGTTAAGGGGAGTACTGCTGCTTTGCCAGAAGCAATATTAAGTAACATGCACAGGGATCAGTAGCTTTAATACATCAGTAATCCTTTAAATAGAGCCCTAGGGGCTGCAGAGAAATTGCCACTGCATGGGATCCAATGGGCCATTTGCACATTTTCCTGTAAGGATCAGAAGCAGAATCAGAAATATATATATATATATATAAACGGGTAAAGATAATGGATGGATATATATATATGTTTA